ATATGGCCTACTACTTCCCTCTTTTCCATGACTGCTATGAAAATCAAACTAGTTTTTGTGCTCAAGAAGTATAAATTTGTCCTTTCTTCTTTTTACTACTGAGTTTGTTAACGTGGTATAATAATGGCATTGAAGTCAGATCTGAGTTTAAATCCAGAATCTAACAATTGTTGAGTGACTTTGGACAAGTTACTGAACTTCTCTATGCCTCAGCCCTAAAAATGAGAATCATTTGAAGGTGGTTTGATGATTGAATGAGATAATGTATGTGAACACAGTTTTCCACCTCCCTTGCATTTTCAGTAACCCAGAATCCTCTGTCAGCCTGAGAACGTGATTTTTGACCACTTCCCCTTTTCTGCACCCATTATGTGACCACACATACAACAAATAAGATCAATCACCCTCTATGTTTCATAAATTCAACCAAAACAGTTATTTTAATGTAACTGTTGTCTTGATCGTCCCTCCCAAGCCTCAGCCTACTCTGTCTCTAAGACAGAACCACACTTAGGAGCTTAAGTTGATGACTTAGTCATTTGTCTTAGTCTTAGTCTGTTGTTTTAAGCCACCAGGTTTATGATAGTTCATGCAGCAGCCCTAGGAAACTAATAAAGTTTCCTGAACAAAGAATACCAAAGAGAATATGCCACATGGATGCTGTATTAGTTTTCCTGAATGGGATTACAAGTCTGTATCTTCCAACATTTTTGAAATCCACTTTTACTTTGATCTTATATTGATTCCATCACAGTTAGTGTTTTATTTTTTTTTTATGAAAATGTCAATAGGCATTTAAAACAAATTAAAGAAACTAAGTTTTTAAAATCATGCACTGCCCTTATCTTTCAAAAAAGTTATTTTTACTTCATTTCTACCTATGACACTTCACCATGCTACTGAAATTATTCTCATTAAAGACCAAAGACCTTATCAAACTCTTTCATCAATCTTCATGCTTATTCCTTGACCTCTCTGCACCTGGGACACAATGAAAGAACATGTTTTATTTAATTTCTTCTGCTCTCCTAAGTACCTAGTGCCGGGAACTTAGAAGATACACCACAAAAGCTTTTGGAGTGGAGAGATATCCAGATCTCTAGATGAATGAATGAAGGCAAACTACTTTTTGAAATTTCTGCTCTTGGTTTAGTAACACTACACTACATTGGCTCCTCTCAAACCATTCCTCTAACTTTTACTGTCTCTTCTTCTAAAACCCTATTTAGAATTATAAGATGGAGGGCCGGCCCAGTGGCTCACTGGAGAGTGCGCCGCTTGGGAGCGCGGCGGCGCTCCCGCCGAGGGTTCGGATCCCATGTGGAGACGGGTTCCTGCTCACTGGGTGAGCGTGGTGCGGGCGCAACACCGAGGGTTGCGATCCCATTGCCAGTCCCTGGTACAGACGCGACACCGAGGGTTGTGATCCCGTTACCGGTCAGTAAAAAAGACAAAAAGGGAAAAAAAAAAAAATTATAAGATGGAGTATTTATTACCCAAGTAAACATTAACTCACCCACTATGGCCTTCAGGGTTCACATACTCCAACTCTTAACTTTTACCTCAGATTTCAGACCTAAAAACCAGCCACTGATTCCCTCTATCTTCCCAATATCTCAGCATGACTCTTGTAGGCATCCAACTCTAGATACCTAAAATAAAACACTATATTTCTATCCAAAAAATTTTTTTCCTTCCCAAATTTCCTTTTGCATACCTGTTCTCCCACTTACCACATTTTTTTTAAAAATGGAATAATTTAAACAACTCTTTATCTTCTCTCTCGATCAAAAAATGTCAGTCACCATCTTTCCCCCTTATTTAGAAAAGGGTTGTAGCAGTTTTTACCTCTGTTCTTGAACCTCTTAAAAATGGAATAAAATCCAAAAAGTAGATATACAAATACACAAATGTCTACAAACATTTTATTACACAGAAGCTGGTTACTTTAATAATCTCAAAAGATTTTCTCCCAAATGATTTGTCAGAAATTTATGAGCATGTTGAAAAGATTTACCTCTGGGAAATTCTCAAGCATTGAGATATGCTTAAACATTCTTTTCCATGGTTATTGATTAGAAAAGAAAACCATGGATTTCAAGGAACATATAGCTTACACATTCAAACTTCACAACTACACCACACAATGAGATCGTCACTCAAATGAGAGATAATTTGTACTTGGAAAAACAAGGCTTTGGGATCATATTACCTAAGACTCAAATTCTACCTCAGCCAACTGTGTCTTTAAGTTACTTAATACTCTGAGTTTTGTTTCCTCTTCTGTAAATTGGGACTTTTGACCTAGTTGCTACATGGATAAAAGATAATATATGAAAAAAACTTTTCATATATTATCAAAAAAAAGTTCAAGAAACCACAGCAGTTACCAGAAAGCCAACATCCTAGAGACACTAGAAAATGCTTGCAAAAAAAAAAAAAAGAAATGTAGGCAGAAGAAAAAACTAGGTATTTAAACAGAACGTGTTCAAAAAACTGATATATATAAAACCATTAAGTAAAGACTAGAAGGTAAACTCTACATGTACCCTAAAAATAAACTCTGTTAACTGGCAAAAAGAATGATGTCAATTCTCTAGACTAGAATCTAGACTTAACTGTCTACTTTCCAACCAACCAAAAGGTTTGCAGAGTTGAAGAGAGGGATGGGAGGGATTAAAATCTTCAAAAGTTTCTGCTTCAAACAGACTCAGCAGAGCACATTTCGAGCTCATAGAAGGGAAGCATGGAGAAGCTAAGCAGCAGCTCACGTTCTCAAAGAGCAAAAGTGAACTTCAGAGATGCTTCTCACCTCAAGGAGGAATTCTTTGCTGGCACAACCATAACACTACTCTAAGGTCACACCTATTCAGCACCTATTGGATCGAACATTGTGCTAAGAACACAAAAACAGACAAGAAGCAGTCTCTGCTACACATTAAAAGGAAAAAAACAGTTAAGAAAAATCAAACTGTATATATTACACAGAAAGTGTGTAACAGTAAGTACAGTGACAACTTTCATCTTTTAGCCTCTCCAATCTAAAATGTCAATGTCATCCTTCCTGCCTCCAACACCAATGGCTTTCCACTGCTCTAAGATAAACACCAAACCTCATAACATGATCGACAAAGCCCAGCATGGTCTGATTCCTGCCTACCTCTCCAGCACCATCAAGTCTCTGCACGAGAGCACTAAGAGGCTTTTCTCAGTTCTTCTAATTTGTTGTTCCCTCTGGTCACAGGACCTCTGCATGTGCTATTCCCTCACATACAACACTCATCTCTCTTTGCTTAGAAAACGTTACCTCATCCTTCAAAATTTGTCTCAATTTTCACTTCCAAAGGAAAACACTCCCTTACCTTAGGCAGTATAGTATGACAATAGCACAAGTTCTAAATCCTAAGTCTTACTAGCGCCATATTTTTGAGCAAGGCACATAACACTTTGTGCCTCAATTTCCTCTTCCGAAAATGGGGATTATATGGCTGTCATAAGGATTGAATAAATTAATTCAAGTAAAGCACCATAACAGAATCTAGAGCATAGAACTCACAATTTTCTTGACTTGGTCAAACCTCTCTATTTCATTTTCCTATAGCACCAGGAACTCTCTCCTAAGAGCATGTACTTTTTTGTCTCTCCCTACAAGACTAAAATTTCTAAGAGAGCAGAAACGATATTCATTCCCTAGAGCTGAAATACAGGAGATTATTCAATAAAGATTTGTCAGGGGGAAAAAAAAGGCTGAAAGGAAGAAGCTGAGGCCAAACGAAGTGGCCTGTCCAATGCATAAAACTTCATGTGCATGACTCCAAAATCCACGCCCTCCCACTATATCATGTTGCCTTCTAGGGAAGTGTGAAAGTCTTACAACTGCAATTGATGTGGGCAATAAAGATTAAAAGATAATAAAACAATAGAGATTAAGAAACAACTATATGTAAACACAAAGAACAGTGAGAGTGGGCATTTTGAGACTGACACTAAGCAAATATAGGTGTGGCTTTTTTCCACTTCCATGATCAGCTCCAGCTCTCACAGTGCCCACCTGGGCCTCAGTTTCTCATTAAAGAGTAGGATGGGGCAGATCGCCTCTAACATGTCTTCCAATTTTAAATTTCAATGGCAATAAACCAAGTTATTTGGCAATTTTTAAAAAATTTTTTTAAAGGAAGCTTAACAAGTACCCAGAACTAGTTGACAGACAGTTTTTAGGGTACTTCATTTTAAAGAATTTGTACAAGTGAAAATCCTACTCATAAAGTAGGTTAGGCAATCCATGCCCAGAAACTACAAAAGACTCGATGTTGAAAGGAAAGTTACACACAAACACCGTAAATCAAGCTGCCACTATGACACCCTGGGGCATACAGAAGAGTGTCAAAATGTGTTTAAAATCAGGCTAAGTACAGGACAAATTTTATACACAGTACCCTGTGGTGTCAAACAAAATATATTAGCAATCCTGCCACCGGACAATACTTTAAAAGTTAAGATAAACTCACATCCCTATTTGAGCACCAATTCAGTGTCCCTTCAAGAGAAAAGAGGCAAGAGAACAAGGAAACTGCAAGGACCCTTAAAATCACACCCTGGAATGCTTAAGACGAGGCCAACACCGCATGGTACCGGAATAGGACCACGGGCAATGCAGGTACGTTACTGCCCGACGGGCATCAGCCGCCCCGGAGGGCGCGGAGAAGCCACGACCGCCGCCTGCTTAGGCCCCTCTGGCCTCCGGGATCCTCGGGAATAGCAGCCGCAACGCAGGATGCCTCCTCAGCCCGCCTAGCGCGGACTCCGGGAGGGGGGATGACAGCGGAGAGCGCAGCCTGAGGAGGAACCGGGGCCGCGGGGACGCGCGGGAGGGGACTCGGTGTCGCCCGGGAACCCCCAGGGCAGCGGGACCGAGCCGGCGGCTCTCCGAGCACCAGTCACCGTGAGGCGGCGCGGGCTGGCGGCGCAGGGAAGCCCCGGCCCGCGGGAGCCGTTCTCACCTGCAGGGTCCACAGCGCCGCTCTCCGCATCAGCTGCTGCCGCGGCCGCCCCCCACGCCGTCCGGCCGCAACCAGCGATGCCGCCCCTGCCCAGAGACCCGGATTGTAATAGTTTTAGAATATATTTTGAAACCAAGGAGTGTGGTGCCTCTGGCATTCTTCTTGCTCAACAATGGCTTTGGCTATTTGGGGTCTTTTTTCATCTGATACAAATTTAAGGGTTGCTTTTTCTATTTCATCATTCTCTCTCAGAAATAGAAAAAGCAACCCTTAAATTTGTATCAGATGAAAAAAGACCCCAAATAGCCAAAGCCATTGTTGAGCAAGAAGAATGCCAGAGGCACCACACTCCTTGGTTTCAAAATATATTCTAAAACTATTACAATCAAGACAGCATGGTACTAGCATAAAAACAGACATAGCAACTAATAGAATAGGATAGAGAGCCCAGAAATAAATCCATGCATTTAAAATCAATTGATTTCCAACAGAGGTGTCATGAACACAAGATGGGGAAAGGACAGTCTTTTCAATAAACAGTATTGGAAAAACTGTATATCCACATGCAGAAGAACAAAATTGGATCCTTATCTCACACCATATATAAAAATCAACTCAAAATGGATTAAAGACTGAAATATAAGACCTGAAACTGTAAAACTACGGGCTGGAAGCAGAGGCGCGCTAGGACCGAGAGGGAAAGGACGGGCGGCGCGCCCCACCCCGAGCCGGGCGAGAGGCCACCAGCCGGAGCCAACCCCGGGAGTGAGAAAGGCAGAGAGACGCGCGTGAGCTCGGCGGCCTGCCAGGGGCAGACCCCGCGTTATCCCAGCATCCACTGAGCAGCCACAACCAGCACGCAGCTGTAACAGTTAATGTCAATGAGTCACCTCCGCCCCTTGGCTAGCCTGGAGTCCCAAGGGTCCTCAGTTGCAGACATGTGCCCAAACTATGTTTCTGTATGTTTAAAAGTGTAAATTGCAAAGCACCAAATCTAGGTAAGGTTTTGGACGAGTGTGATAACAAAGTAAAAATCCTAGGTCTAGAAATCAGAGATCCGAGTTCAAGACCTCTGCCACTTAATGTCTAAGTGTCAGGGGAATCAGCCATACCAGAGTCCGTTTCTGTTGTTTGCAAGCAGGAGTTCTTACTTGTACAGCTAAGAGCCAGACCTTGGGCTAGATGCCTCAAATTCCATCTTATTTTAAACTTTACACGAACCCTAATGGCTTATATGTTATCCCCATTTTGAGAAACTGAAGCTATAGAGAGGTAAAGTCAGTCAGCTCGTAAATGGTGAAACTAGGGTTTGAACCCAGGTCTGGCTGTCTCCAGGGAATGGGCTTTTGTTTTGTTCTGTTATATTATGGAAATTTGTAAACATACACCAAAGAGATAAAATAGTATAATGATCACACCCTGGTATCCATCACACAACCTCAACAAATCAACATTTTGTCCATCTCATTTCATCTATTCTACTTTTTAGTTTTTGCTGGAGGATTTTGAAGCAAATCTCGGACATCACCTGTAAACTCCTCAGTATCAGGGGTTCTGCTCTTAACTCCTTTGTCTCTCCTACAGAGAAACCTTGAGAGAGTTACAAAGCTAGGAATGACTTAGAGTACATTACAGCATGGTAAATGCCAAAGGAGATATTTTAAAATGTTTGGGGATATCAGAGAGATGACATTGAATTGACTACCATCTTAATCCAACAATAAGGGTGGGAACACTTTAAAACATAGTCAAGGATATTTTTGACGCAGATCCCACCTGCCTGCAACAAAATCCTGAAAAAAACTGTAAAGGTAGAAAAGAGAATAGAACCAAATCTGCATTGAGCACTCCTAATAAATTGTATAAAATTGTCGTAGCAATGGGATATGAATGTGTTTTGGTAATTGTGTATTTGTTATCAGGATGAAGTTTTCGCTTTTCAGAAAGCTACAACTTTAACTGTAGCAAAAAGTTTCCTACCTAAGGGATCATGAAACCTCTGTCTCTTTAGAAACAGAGGCACTTATTTATTTGGAATTTTTATTAAGGAGCTTTGGATGCTTAATACTTCATTGCCCATATCACACTCAATCCTCTGGTAATACAGAATGGACAAATAAAATTCTCAAACTCTAGTTAAACTTTTAGAAACACTTGAACTTCCTTAGCCTGAAGTCTTGCCTTTTCTCGTAATGACAATGAAGTCTACTCCATAGCTAGCCCATTGATTCTCAACCTATTGATTGATAGTTAGGATCTTATCTGCCTGGGAATGTTGCCCCCAATTATAGACTGCCTCATTACAAGTGATATAGCCAAATACTGCAAATGACTCATGTGATACACTTGGAGTTTTTTTAACTTGTGGAAAAATATACAGAACATAAAATTTAGCATTTTAGCCATGTTTAAGTGTACAGCTCAGTGGCACTAAGTACATTCACACTGTTGTGCTACAGTCACCACCATCCATCTTCAGAACTTTTTTCATCTTGCAAAACTGAAACTATTCATTAAATACTAACTCCCCATTTCCCCTACTCTCATTCCCTGGCAAATGCATGCTACTTTCTGTCTCTATGAATTTGACTACTCTAGGTACCTCATATACATGAAATGGATATACTCAGTTTTATTAACAGATGTGAACAGCTTTTCCAAAACATCCTTCAAAATAACCCCAATCACAATTTAAAATCCAGGGGCTACATCTTGCAGAACAGACATCAGAAAAAGCCCTTGACCTCAATGGAAATAACCTTATGGGTACTAATAAACAGTTAATACAGCAGTTAAACTCCTTGGTGTTGATCCTTGCATCCTTGTCTTAATGAAGAGAAGTAAACCACTTTGAGTCAGGAAGATGTTTCTACCAGAGATCCCAACTAGAGAATTCTTAGGAATTCTCCAGAATCAGAAAACTATAGGAAGGAGACAGCTTCCACTGAAGACCATGAGAACAAACTAATGACTGCATAAAGGAGATAATCTGCATGCAAATTTCTCATAATTTTCCTAGATATATTCTTTCATCTTTTTTCGTTTATGGTACTAGATTGTTGACAGGCAACTTGTTACTTCCTAACTATGGTACCTGTAAGCAATGATTTGCTGGAGCCAGATAGAACCGGCTTATGTGAATCAATTGTTAAATTATCAAGAATCTTGCCAAATGGTTGATAAGCCATTTGTAGCCTTGGGGAATGTTTACATAATGGAAATATACAGTTATATAAAAATTATAATAAAAATATAGAATAGAGCTTCCAGTCAAGATGGCAGAATAGACTGTCACCAGCATTGCTCTCCCACAAATCAACCAATTTACACCTATTAAAAAGCAATGACAGCCAAGCTGGGGCCACTAGAGCTCAGGGGAAAAAAAGGAGAGCTCTATGGAGCTCATGAAGTCAGGAGAAGCCACGATGACAGAAAGAAAGCATTGCTCCCACCATTTCGAACCCAGCTGTTTTAAGGATGAAGCTGGTGAGCACACAGAGCAAGAGCTGGCAAAAGCCACAGCTGTGCCCTTTGTATGAAGTTGCTTGGAGGTGACAGGGGAGAAGAGGGCCTTGGCAGCCCCCAGGCCAGCAAAACCACTAACAGGGTTCCAATGGACCCTCATGGGACCAAGGAGCCACAAACAACAGAAAAAAGTAACCACTCAGAGGCCAGTGAGTCGTCACAAGGGACAGGCTCATGATCTGTCCCATGGAAAGTGTTTGGAGTGCCGGCAGTGGGGGAGACTCACTGGGTGGGCCCACTGGAGGAACATTTGGGCACAGTATGGATAGCTGATCTGCCCTCCAATCAGCACAGGCCCACTCAGGAATATAGAACTGCGAAGTGTGCAGTTTGCTGAAAAGTCTCCGGCCCAGACCTGAGTTTCCACACAACCCACCTCTTGTGAGGTGTACTAAACCTCACAAGACCTGGGAAGTGCATACAAGGTCAACCATTAAGACCCAAGCTGCACAAAAAGCCTTCCCTAGGGAATCAGCAGCAAAGGAGCAATTTAGCTCAACCACAGAGCTCAAGTGCTGGTCCCCACAGGAAGTTCCACCATTTTAGAAGTAAGCAAAGGACAACAAATTAGTTCCGGTGCAGAGTTTAAGTGGTGAGAACAACAAATAAACCAACACAGAACTGAAAGAAAAAACAAAATACCCACAGATCACAGTTTGATATCAACTAGTAAAGGTCTAACACCACCAAAGAACACCTATAAAACCTAGAAGGACCAGAAGTCCCCTGGGCTCCCAAGCCAGGGAGGGGAGAGGGCCAAGAGCCTCAGCCACTCCTGCCCCAACATCTGCAACCAGCCCAGCGACAACCCAGCTACCACTGGAAGCCCCCTAGTCTCACCTGCCAGAGTGAGGGGGGGCATGGGCCTCAATCACACTCCCCCTCCATCCCCCTCTTCCCACCCTATTTCCTCTCCCCTTCCCTTCTCCTTCTCCCCCACAACTGGTCCACAACTACACCTTAGATGAAGCATGGAGCCAGGGAAGCCAAACCCAGCCTCAGCTAGGCAAGCTGATGCCAGTGCCCTGGGCCCCACCAGGGTCCTGAAGGATGGAACCAGGGGAAGCCAAACCCAGCCACAAACAAGTAAAGAGCACACCAAAAACACCATTTTCACACGGGTAGCCCACCATAGCCACCACAATTGCGATGGCTGCCGCAAAAATGGCTAGTCTATAGCAGCAGTCACAGCCACTGTGCAGATGGCATGCCAGACTCTCAACTGCATTGACACAAGGAGAGGCACTGGTGGAGACCAAAAAAAACCCCAAAAAACAATAGGTCCTCTCTCTCCACAAAGCACACTACAGAGTAATAGAAGAAGCAGCTGATTTGTGATAATAGGAGAGGACTTGATCACACCTGTCTCAGTACTGGACAGATCATCTAGGCAACAAACCGGCAGAGGAACAGTTAATCTACTAGATGGAAGGAACAAATCTATGGTTATTAGAGTGGGGAGGGGGAGGGATTGGATAAGAGGCATAAAGAATAAATATGATTTGTAACAATGAATATGCTAATAAAAAGT